CCTTGTCAGTGATGCAGGACGGAGGGCCTGACAAGGACAGGTGTCTAGTCCTTCGGATGAGACGAAAAACCGAGGTCCCGTGTAAACATTGGAATGCACGTAAAAGATCCCGTGGCAGTTGGAATTCGATATAAGAGTAGGCGATAGTGCCGCTGCCCAGGCAAAATTTCCCTCATAGCACACTGTATGGCGTATACCCGTCTTCATTAGCCCAGTATAGGAGCAGAACAGTAGGACGTTAAACCCCATTTCATTTCTTTTCATTTCATTTCATTAGCCCAGTCACAGCTGAACAGTAGGACGTTAAACCCAATTTCATTTACTTTTACTACTTTTCTGCGCCGATTGGACTATTGAAGATGGGCATGCGCTATGCAGATTGCTATGACGGAAACCACATAATTAAATGAGAGGTTAGTAAAGTTTACCTGTATTTAGTAAAGTTTACCTTTATTTAAATGGGAATTGGTTGATTATTTGTTAAGCTATGTGCAGTACGGTTTGGGGTCGGTTTAATTAGAAATTATGGGCCAGTAACTATTTTGTCATCAAATCATGACAAACCTGCTGAAAGGAAGGCCTTAGAAGAGCATAGAAACTGGTTTGCACGAATAAAATGAATAGACATGACTTTTATGCTCCTTAACGCCTTCGCATGTGTAAAAATAAAATAGATATAAGAGTAACATCCTTGTTGAATAAGTATGCCAATGATAATATATAATATAAAGAAGACGGTGTGTGAAATTGTATACATATCTATAACGATTCATTATTTATACACAGGGGCGGATCCAGGAATTTTTGCAGGAGGGGGTTTGCCAGGTTCCTGAGACAATGTATCTCCCCCCCCCCACATGGTCTCTATCGTCATTTTGGCGTATATACATACACATTGAGCTTTTTAAACAGTGAAATTTAACACCTCGTTTGACGTCAGTTTTTATTATGAATTAATACAATGACATTGTGATTCAATTTCATGGATGCAAAGCATTAATTGTGATATATCATAATGTCTATATCATTATCTCGTGCTTTGAGTGCCCATCCTGTCCCACATCTGACGATAAAGCCGACCCCCCAACCCCCCCCCCCCCCCTCTGGATCCGCCCCTGATACATTTGCATTATAACGTGACATTTATTAAAAATTTAATAACCCGAAGCCTTTTATGAAGGATGATTCACGTTTTACCGATGTCCCCTTACCAAAATAAATCTAGATATATCAGATAAATTTATACATACATGTAGGTGAACCAGCTCGATGAATATTTGAAAATTTAACTGCCGCAAACGCGTTTTCCTGCTATTCCAGCCCGTGAATATAGCAACTTCAGTGTGGCCCAATATAGCCTACCAGGTGACTTACCTGAATCCCAAATCCCAAACAACCAATCAATCGTCGCTGGGTATGGGGGACTCGCGCTCCTCGAGAAAATTTTGAAAATTTTACCTTCGCAAACGTGTTTTTCGGCTATTCTAGCCCGTAAATTAAGCAACTTCAAAGTTTCCAATCGGTTTACAACCGAAATCCCACTCTATGCCTACCCAAATTCCAACCATCCAATCAGACTTGCATTCACAAAAAATAATCTATGCCCGAAAAATGTCGCACAAAGTAGAGGGGCTCCAGACAAAATGTTTTAATCCATAGCAAATTCAGTACATATTCGTGGTATTTAATTAAAAGAAAAGTAAAATTAGTGTTTTATTTGGCTATGGGCACTTTATTTTGCCAACTAGATGAAATAATAATTTTTGTTTTTACTTTACCCGTCTGCCCGAAGTCAGATTACCTGAAAGTTAGTGGGACGCTGACCCCCACCCCCTGGCTCGTACACCTATGAATATGTAGAGTGTTCACACGGACGGCCGTACAAAACTGATATTGACTGATACCGACATAAATAATCATATTGCAAAAAAAGAATTCACATGGGACTGTGGGAAGTTAAACCCAACTTCGTTTCAACGTCCACCCGATACAAGCTAGGTCATTTCGGGACTAACATATAGGTAAGCTTGTGCGTAGGGGTCTTTAGTTATGGGAGAAAACCCACGAGATTTGACAATCGACCCAACTCATTGTCACCTACAAGCGGTGAGTCGAGACCACACCACTTGACTCAATGACAGACCTTTATGATCTAAAGCACACGCGTTAACCCATTCTTTCACTTATCCCCACTAGTTAAAAAAACCATATACTTTCTTATTTTTAAATAATGATTTTATTGATCTATATAATCAGAATATATCTGGGTTGTAACTTCTCGACAACAAAGATCTGAGTTTAAAATGTCAACCTCATTTTGGTTTTGAAAGTTTGAATAAGTGTCAATACACAATGGATTTGAATCCGATTTTACCGAGTTCACAGAATCGACCTGAAATAGTTCATTATCGACAATGTTATTATAATTATCACAGTTTTCGGGCGACTGGACATCAATAGTTCTGCTATTTTGTGGTGGGTAATATCCTTCACTTGGAGTTGTCGGTGGCGCCATGAATGTTCCAAAACCATTTATTTGGGGCATTTTTACAAATAATTTAAAAACTTTTGACGACCCTTCTTCATGGCATATTTGTTTTGTTTGATTAGTAGGATATTTGTTTTGTTCTAGCGAATTGCTTTGATACCTTTTGTTTGATTTAAGGAAACTAGAATCCCTCAAAATACTATCCGGAATTTCTATTTGAGCTTTGGATAACCCCGTATCTTTTACGGGTAGTGCTCTCTGGCGATGCCCCGAGTCTACAATGGGGTATGATGGTTTTTGCCGGCTGTTTAATGCTAAAGTGTCCTCAATTTCTTCTGTTAATGATTCCCCAACGCAAACAACGTTTGGGACAATAGCGTGTTGTTTTGGTCTTTTGCTTTCTGGATAGAATGGAGTAACAGGTCTCTCATTTTGTTCTAACGTGCGCCGTTTCTGGATCGGAGAATCCTCAAGAACATCAGGTGCGAATCTAAGAACTGGCAATCTTTGAGGTTGTGTGGTGACATTGCACTTTATCCTTCCTCTTTCAGCTAGTCTTTTAGGTTTAAGAAGGGGCTTCATCTTTTGTTCAGAATAAATGTTACAATTAATGGTGAAATAACTTTTATTTCGCTCTTGTGATAACTTTATTGTATTTGGTAAATTTGCCGCTAGAACATCTTTTCTCTGAATGCTGTAAAGGGGTTCGTCTGATCTACTCAAAGAACTCAATCCTTCCGTAAATTTTGTTTGAACTTTGCATTTGCTGAAATTTAGTGTGGAGTAACTTTTACTGACTATTTCTTGTTCCGGTGTATTGGATATTATCCTTTTCTGGATACGAGGCAATATCGGTTGTTTGGCCCTGAAGGCGTTATGACATTCCTTACCATTATCGTTGTCGGTTCCACTGGGTCTCGATAAATCACAAAATTCAACATGTGCTGCTTGTAGTTCGGTACGCGGGGTATTGTTTGGAACTGTAGTCAGATATGGTAGATGAAATAGATCCTTGTTAGAGAAGGACATGGTGTTAACTTGCAGTCATTGCTACTTTTTGTATGTCTATTCATTAATTCCTTCAAATGTATTCACGGTTTTATTCTATTATAGTAAGATTATAATAAATGACAGACTCATCCATTTTACATGGACTTTCTACGAAACCACACCACGTACATATCAGAACACACCTTTCTTTTATCCGAAGATCTCTTAGTCCTATGGTTTTATAAGATGCAAGTGTTTTACACAGTTATTCACAAATCATCTAACAGGTTTCACAATTCTATATACCTATAAACTTTCTGTATTTTCCCCAGTAATTTCTTTATGCTGCTATAAAATGAATACGTTAATTTCTTAATCCAATTCTAATGCCGCGTAATATACAGACACCAACACTACGAAGAAAAACAATGTCAAATGTCCATGTATAAAACAAACTACATTATTATATCAATGGCGATTTCTATAGCTACACTGTATGCAGTATTAAATATAGCACTAATCCGTTTTCTCATGCGAATCAATTTGACCGTAGCAGTGTTATTAGAAATTATAACTTGTGCCAAATGATCGATTAAGTCTTTTTATTACTTGTGTAGGTATTATAATATAATCCTTTTACTTAGATAATCGATACAGCATATTTTTCTATGACCAGCCTTTGCTGTAAGAAATCGTGCTTCATAAATAATGAATTGGAAAGCCACATTCACTTCATTACACGTAATAATTGGGTTGAGTAATAATACGCATGACGCTTTTTTTAATCAGATTTTTTCGAGATTTATCGCGGGCGGTTAGCGATTACTCAATTTCTACTTCGCCATTATAAATTATAGTCCGCTTCCTTTCCCTTCTATTCGGGTTGATAAGGGCGCTAATCAGAATCATGCAATAAGCATTGTAGCATCGTTGGTTCTAATGAGCTTAGTAACGTATATATCATGCATGTAATAGGGGTTGGTACGTCAAGTGGGGTTTAACGAAAACTTCTTGGAGATCCTTAAGTCTGTTATCTATAGATGCAAGTCATGAATCCGACAGAAAGTAGGGTCACGCTAGCTTCCTGGGTGTTTTTTTGGGTACTGTCGTTTCCTCCCACATCTCTGTGAATAAGAGGTTGGCTCACTAAACAGGGGGTCCTGGGTTCCATTCTGGTGTTGTCCGAGAACAACGTCTAGTCGTTCGGATGGGACAAAAAACCCTAGCCCATATGTATATGTTGGTAAGCACATAAAATAAAGCTTAGCATTTAGAATTTGATGAGGAGTGAGAGAGAGAGAAATGGGGTTTAACGTCCACTCGACACAAACTAGGTCATTTCAGGACTAACATACGGTTTGATTTTATTTCAATAATTCGCTTATTGAACTAGAACTATACCATGTACCTACTAAGACCCCAAAAATAATAAACATTGATTAATACTTTTATTTCTATATTATTTAATAAATTTCTTTCTAGAAACAAGAAACATTTTGTTTATTTTGTTTATTTTATAAATCATTTTATTTATTCAATTCTTGTAAGGCAACAACACCTATTCATTTGCAAATACATAATAAACAATTCTTAATTCATGGATGTGTAATACCAAAATCTGACATCAAACCAAGTATATATGAATTCTGTTTCCCATTATTACAATTATTAATCACTTCTATATACCTGAGAATAACCATAAAATAAAGTACATATATGTATGAAAAGCAGCACTTTCAACCAATTAACCGGTAATTAAATCAAGATTTTTATACAAGACAAGTAGGTAATTACGCCATGGGTAATTCATGTGCTGCAGCATATCTACCAGTAACATAATGAAATATTTGTCTCTCTATATCACCAAGAAGACTACTAGCACCAATTCTAAATAAGTTTGGTTTTGTCCATTCATCTCCCAATTCTTCCTTCATCATTGACAACCATGTACAAGCATCTTTAGCAGATCTAATACCTCCAGCAGGTTTAAAGCCAACCTAATAAAATAAATACAATATTTATCTATACTCCAAGATTCAAGTATAAATCTTTAAAAGTTGTAGACAATAATAAAACATTTTTTCTTTTATTACTTTATTACTTTCCCTCTTTATGCAGAAGTCGTTCATATTTGCCATTATTATTGAGTTGTCCGCTAATTTTGTGCTTCCATATTGTGAAAGAAGAAAAGGCAATACATCTTTGGTGGGGGGTGTACAGCTTGATTTTCATTATGGGGATACTCAACTGAATGTTCTGGAATTGAATTCTCTGAATCCCAGAATATTGAAAATCAAGTGAAAAGGGAGATTTCAGGCAACTGCATGCCGACTGACTTCCACGTCACTCCCTTGCAATTCTGTCGATTCGGGAAATGAAATGAAATGAAATGGGGTTTAACGTCCTACTCCTAACATGGGCTAATGAAGACGGCCATGCGCCATACAGTGTGCTATGAGAGAAATTTTGCCTGGGCAGCGGCGCTACTCTTATATCGAATTTCAACTGCCAAGGAATCTTTAATGTGCAAGCCAATATGTACACGGGACCTCGGTTTTTCATCCCATCCGAACAACTAGACAGCTGTCCATGTCAGGCCCTCCGTCCTGCATCACTGACAAGGAGAAACTATGCTGGAAAATCTGGATGAACTTTCTCGGCCAATGCAGGGATCGAACACCCGACCTCCAGGCTAGCGAGCCAGCGTCTTACCCACTTAGCCACGTGATCCCCTCACTTGATTGCAATTCTGTCAATTCTGTCAATTCTGACAATCGAGCATCCCCATGTGCTCATAGGTCTTTAACAAGGGGAATAAACCAGATAACTCAGATTTTATACTAGAAACTAAATAATAGACCATATGATCTGGATCAGCCAACTCCCCAATACATCTGGACAGGATTATCAAATATACCAATGAAGATGACTCTTTTACTAAAATCTGTTTTTTGTTAATACGATAGTAAACAGTAAAATTGATTTTACCAACATATGATATTGTAACTGAAACCTTATAACAAAATAACACTATTTCTTTCACTCACTGTGTTAGGCTCAATTTCTAATGATTTCTAAATTTTACATGATTGAAAATTAGTTCAGTGGTTGCCAAGAAATATGCTACACTACTGCACATTTGTTAACTTCTCCGGTGATATTAATATGTCAAGACACAACGATGTCAGGACTATAAAAGGGAAAACCCATCAGTTTTAGCATCATGTCCAGTCAACATTTCATTGTTTTATATGGTCACTATTATAGCTTTGCATGCATTCTATATTGTTAGGTGCTATGAAAATAATACAAAATTATAAATGATTCTTAAAAATAACACAAAGTAACCTTGATTGATAAACTAGCCAGATATTTGAATAATTTAGAATACATTACCTTATGTGTAGTTCTATGATGATATTCTCTGATAGCTCTAACCATGACAAGACCAACTGGTAAAATGGCATTTACACCTTCTTTACCTGTTGATGTCTTAATAAAATCAGCGCCTATAATTAAATATACTGTTATATAATTCAACAATTCAATGCATCAATTTGTACTGGTTGTAATGGTCCAAATATCTTGATCTCTCTTCATTCATCTAGCAGTTAATATCAAAATTTTAATTCACATATCCAAGTCAAAATTTTGACCTTTTGAAAATTGAATTGCCCAAATATCTTGATCTCTCTTCATTCATCTAGCAGTTTGTCAATGTCAAAATTTTAATTCAGATATCTAAGTCAATTTTTGTCGTTTTTGACTACATGCTCAAATTGGCTTGATTGCTTGTGCATAAGACTGGTGCGAAACCACACAGTTTACGTAGATATTTGGTTCCCCCCCCCCCACTAAGGAACAGGGCCCAAAAGGGTACCAAGCCAAACGGCAACAACTATCCGATTTATTGATAAGACTTATAGTGCTACAAATTATTTTTCAATAATAGATGTAATTTTTTTTTTATCAAGTTTCAATGGGCCGAATGAATATTTAACTATAAGTTGCATCTTCACTCTGCTTTGAAACACTACCAATAACCTGTAGGTGAAATACTAATGTTGCTCACAATGTGTGAAACCTTGGGTCAAAAAGGAGTAAAGGGGCATAACTCTATTTAACAGCTGGTCTCAGACTAGAAATTCAGATTAACTGTCATGTGACATCCCAAAATTATTTCAACTTACCTGCCATCATGCACACCATACTGGCTTTGTAGACATTTACCATAGAACCCAGTTCACCCGTAGCTAATATTGTTTTTAAATGTGCTTCACCACAAGCTTCTCGCATTAAACGAACTTCATTATACACACCTGCATGAAAGAAATTGTAAAATAAGACACCAAATCAAAATAGATAACGCAAAGAAAGAGAGAAATGGGGTTTAATGTCCACTCAAAACAAACTAGGTCACTTATGGGACTAACATATGGTTCAATTTTATTTCAATAATTCCCCTACGCGTAGGGGTCTTTAGCAGTGGGAGCAAACCGGAGGAACCAGAGAAAACCTACAAGGTTGGACAGGCGATCCTACTCCTTGTCATGTACATCCGGGGATCCGAAACCACACCAGTTGACTCAATGACAGACCTTACGACACAGTGCGCACCTACTAACCATTCGGCCATCCGCCCCACGATAACGCAAAGATTTGCTTCATTTCTTGTATAACGTAATAAAAAAGCTGATTTTATATCTACGGTACCTTTCCAGTCTCCTGTTAAAGCATATGTTCTATTTATGACTATATCTATCTCTCTGGCTCCACTACTGACAGCTTGCTTTATCTCCTCTAGACGTGTTTTTAATGGTGTTTGTCCTGTTGGAAATCCAGTGGCAACTGTAATAAATATTAAAGAGCTTTACAATGATACTAATAAATCAGATTTGTTCAAATAATCATGTTTTAAATGAGAAACATTTACTTCGCTTTATCTCAATCATTCCCATGAAATCAAATTGACCATTTACAAGTACTTTCCCAATCTGATTAAAATACAGATCTATATTTCGTTTTCTTATACTTTCGATGGTCGGTTCTAGTTGAAGGTTGCGTCAGGGGTCGTACCAATGTCTTTTGACCCTATGACATCAGACATTGATTAATCAATCAGCATTGATGTTTCTAGTGGTTTACCCACAGTTCCGTGCATTACATGCCAAGAAGTTGTTGTAACAGACCGTTTCATTGACTAATCCCTCACGCGTGTTATATAACAACTCTTCCAGATCCTAGTGTTGTGAAGACAAGTAAAACCAAATTTCGAACTATAAAAAAACAAAATGAAATAGGATCTGTGTTTTAATCAGATTGGTACTAACTACTAATGGTCCAGAAATTCTGTATAATTCCTAAAATAGATTCCATATTAAAGACGAAAAAAATTAAAAACCTAAAACTGTAGAAAATATGTTTTACCAGATGCTATAGGAATATTTGTTCCATTACAGGCTTTTAATGCTTTAGCACAATCTGCGACACGACTTGGATAAACACATACAGCTCCTGTTGTTATATCTGTAAAAATATAATTAAATAATAATCCTGTTTTATAATACAGTTTAAAATAGACTTTTAATTTGGAAAGACAAAGTCAGCAAATTTGGAAAGACAAGTCAGCAAATTTGGAAAGACAAAGTCAGCAAATTTGAAAATATGCAGCTAAATCAAATGATATTTAACAACTTATTGCAAAAGTAAAACGAAAAACAAATAGCAATATAAACATAATAAAAGATGACTACGACACAAAGTATGGAAATATGATCTCACAGCAGCTATGTCTTAAAAAAAAGACAGCCATAGACAGTAGCATATCCGAATGCAAAACTTAAATGTTGAACATTTATTGGGATTTTCCGGCGTGGTTTCCCCTTGTCAGTGGTGCAGGATAGAGGGTCTGACAAGGACAGCAGTCTAGGTCGTTCGATGGGACAAAAGATAGGTTGCCAGGCAACGAAACATACGCCCACAGCAGCTAAATCGTCCGGGCAGTCAACAAGAGTTGTCGCATATTCTTACTTATTTCGGTAATGAAACATTTATAATACATTAAAATCTGATTAAGAGCAACAACTCACGAAGTAATTATCAGAAAAACATTAGAATTTGTTTGTTCTTTATAAAGTTCTGCCCAATGCTAACGTTTTGTATACAAAACTTTTAATATCATGGATTTAGCTGTCAATCGGATGATAACTTTAGCCTTTAGAGCGGAAATTTTTTAAAATCAAGGGCCATAACACTGGCAGTAATTATCGGAAATTGCTGAAAACCAATAGACTTCTTCGTCTCATGACCTTAAACACTGTGTATAAATTTAAAGTCAATTGAATATTAAATTTGGCCTCTAGAGCGTCCAGAAGATTTTTTGAAGTGATCAAGGGCCATAACTCTGGCAGTAATTATCAGAAATTGCTGAAAATCAATAGGATTCTTCGTCTCATGACCTTAAACACTGTGTATAAATTTAAAGTCAATCGGATATTAACTTTGGCCTCTAGAGCGTCCACAAGATTTTTCAAAGTGATCAAGGGCCATAACTCTGGCAGTAATTATCGGAAATCGCTGAAAATCAATAGGATTCTTCGTCTCATGACCTTATACACTGTGTATAAATTTAAGGTCAATCGGATATTAACTTTGGCTTCAAGAGCGTCCACAAGATTTTTTTGAAGTGATCAAGGGCCATAACTCTGGCAGTAATTATCGGAAATCGCTGACAATCAATAGGCTTCTTCGTCTCAAGACCTTAAACACTGTGTATAAATTTAAGGTCAATCGGATATTAACTTTGGCTTCTAGAGCGTCCACAAGATTTTTTGAAGTGATCAAGGGCCATAACTCTGACAGTAATTATCCGAAATCGCTGAAAATCAATAGGCTTCTTCGTCTCAAGACCTTAAACACTGTGTACAAATTTACGGTCAATCGAATATTTACTTTGGTCTCTAGAGCTCCACAAAAGCAATTGTGGACGCCGGATCGCCGGACGGGGGCGACGACAATATACGACCACATTTCAATGTGGGCGTATAAAAAAACGAGGTCCAGTGTACACATTGGCATGCAGAAAAAGACCCCTTGGCAGTTGGAATTCGATATACGAGTAGGTCGTAGCGCCGCTGTCTGGGCCAAATGTCCCTCATAGCACACTATATGGTGTATGCCTGTCTTCATTAGCCCAGTTCGGAGCAGAACAGTAGGACGTTAAACCCTATTTCAATTATCCTAATTGCTAACTGTATGGTGTAAACTTATGCCAGGGTTCATTACCCTGGTTGGTGCAAAAAAGTAAGACGTTAATATAATTGTCTTACTATACCTTTATCCATAATATCTAAAGCTTTAACTAAGTCTTGTCTAACAGGATGTTTAGCTTTGTAGCACAATCTTGCCACATTACATGGTGTATCATCTCCAGCTAATGTTGTAAGATCTATACATGTAACAGCTCTTAATAACCAGGCAGCCTGAAAGAGAGAAATAGAATGAAATTTATTTCATAAAATCACTTGCTCATAGAGGTCTTTATTAGTTGGAGGAAACCGGATGTCCGAGAGACGTCCCTACACGTTTGGATAGAAACAAGGCCACATGACTCAATGACAGACGTTATGATCTGAAGTGCACACACCCCCACCCCCACCTATCCATAATAATAATATCATTAAATCTTTTTCTTAATTATGATTCTTGGTGTCATTAAAAAATTGCACAGGCACACTCTCAAGGTCATGCAAAGGTTCTGATTGATAATATTCCAATACCTGAGAGAGCTGCCAACTCCTGTTGTTACGCTTAAATGAGAAAACTGAGACCTATACCTGACTAAAAAAAACCATGTTCTTCAATACAATTTTTTTCTTGAAGGGAATTATATAGAATACTATAAATGTTCCCAAATCAACATTATCATCATAATAGTAATACAATTGAGCATGTTATTTATAAGTTTAAAAGTTACAAACCTGCCATTGCTTTTTAACTGTTCTTCTTGTACCTAAAGTTTCTGCCCTACGTTTCACTGCTGGTAAATTTATATATATATTCTGAATCCAGGATTCATCTGAAGAAGATTAAAATGTAAATATACATTATATGGTTGGGTACTACGATTTAAAGGAAATATATGGAGTGTCCTAGAAACACTGTACATTTGTCATTTGAAACAATAACATGATATATTTTCTTGCATAAACAATGGAGTATTTTGTGTGGGTCCAGTTGATATGGCCTACAATAAAGATTTTTTACGAGATATGATAATATATAATTACATATATATACAGGCGCTGATGCAGTGCACACACCACTTCCCACTTTCTGTAGGATTCTTGTAACAGTAGACTTTCCTAAACCATTCTTGACAGTTGGAACTGTGGGAAAGTGGGGTGGGGGGGGTAATAAAACTTGGGATGTCGGTTATTAATCTTTTTATCTTGTGTCTGACTATTAGGTCCTTTAATGAATTTGTGATACCATACTTAACAGGACATTTTTAAAGAAATCTAAAGCACTGCATGGGCTGTTGTCTTCCCTTTAGGCGTGAGGTTACATGAATATTTGAATCTGAATGCCTTGTGCTTTATGTTACAAGTATGATTTGACATCATCTGTATTGTCCCATTGATTCTTTAGTGGTGGATCAATTGTTTTCAGCAGTAGAGCTAGAGCATTTGCCCCAGCCTACTTACAATACTAAAAATAAATGCCCTGATACCCAGAATCCGTAACACCAACCTGACCATACTGCATGAACATACAGAAATAAGAATATCACAAACTGTTTTTATGTCACAAATTCCACTTTTTAGTCGACTTTGTCATGGTTTTTCCTTGGCCTAGCTCTGATGCCTAGCAATTGAAGACATTCTATTGCACCCCTCTTTTCAAAAATCCAGCATTGGCTGATATTTATTCAACAGGATGTGTTTCATTTCTAGGGTAGAGTATTTATAAATGCCTACTGAAGTAAAACTTTAACCTAGTTTTTAAGATAATGATAATGCTCTATATATTGACTTATATCATGTAAGCCTAGCTACATAAGTGTAGAAATATCGAAAAACAATTTTACCTGATTAAAATATACATACGTAGGCCTAACATTCATTATGAAATCATAAATAAAAGGCCTAGCTAAGTTATCAAATTGTTGGAAAGATAAAAATTTAAACATTGTAAAAACCAAATGAAAATGTGTCAACAGTGTAGTACTTAGTAGTACTGTGTAGACTTCGTACGTGCAATGTAGAAGCGCTGAACTTTCATAATAATAATTGTTTGACTGTGCTGTTTTGTAGAAAATCGAAATTCAATACACCACAAAATTAATATTGCCTGCATCTGTCCAGACATGCAATAATATCTTTCATCAACCCAGAATTCACGTCATGTTGAAGCTTACCATACTCGACACCCGGATTTCTAGCAGCCATAATGGATAATTGGTAGATGTGATCGTCCAGACACTTTAATGAAAAAATATCGTACGTGAAAGCCTGGACAATAAAAGTATGAATCGTCGTCTGCTACACGTTGTGCTACATTGTTCGCAAAATGAAACGCGGTTTAACGTTCAACTGAATGGGCTATTGAAGACGGGCATGCGTCTTGAGGTAAATGAAATGAAATGAAATGGGGTTTAACGTCCTACTGTTCTGCTCCGAACTGGGCTAAATGAAGACAGCGGCACTACGGACTACTCTAATATTGAATTCCAACTGTCGAGAGATCTTTTACGTGCACGCCGTCCAATTTCATCCCAAAGGTGGCCGATCAGGTTCTTGTCGGGAGAAATAGCGGGCCAATTGGGCCAATTGTTCAGAAAGTCTCTTGTCAACCTGGCAGTGTGGGTCGGGCGTTGTCATGCTGGAAAACCAACTGTCGACGGACGCCATGTTGAGCCAGCAATGGAAGCAACACCGGACGAAGGATGGCGTCAACATAATGTTGAGCGTTGAGATTGCCTTGGACCACCAACTGGGACCGGACGTTGACGTTGATAGCGGCCCAAACCATGACGCAACCTCCCACGAAACGATCCCTTTCGAGCACGCAGTTACGAGCAAAGCGTTCATGTCGACGTCGGTAGATACGGTGACGTCCATCAGGAAAACTAAGGTTGAATCGGGATTCATCCGAGAAGATGATATTTCGCCATGGTGTGTTGAGATTGCCTTGGACCACCAACTGGGACCGGACGTTGACGTTGATAGCGGCCCAAACCATGACGCAACCTCCCACGAAACGATCCCTTTCGAGCACGCAGTTACGAGCAAAGCGTTCATGTCGACGTCGGTAGATACGGTGACGTCCATCAGGAAAACTAAGGTTGAATCGGGATTCATCCGAGAAGATGATATTTCGCCATGGTGTGTTGTGCAGATACCCCTGATTTGCGGCCCATTGCTGTCTGGCAAGTCGATGACGATGCAAAAGGATTTGGCCTTGGTAAGGTCGACGGCAGCGTAACCCAAGAGCAGTCAGGCGCCTTCGGGCTGTTTGAGGTCTGATCTGACGTTGCCGTGTTCCAACAGTTCCCCTGGCAGTAGCTGTAGCTGACTGGAGCCTGTTGCCCAGATGCTGTAGTCGGATGTGGCTATCTTGAGCAGCGGTTGTAACAGGTGGCGTTCCAGGTCGGGGTCGATCGGCAACTCTTCCAATGGCGTGAAAACGTTGTCTGAGGCGAGCAATGGTCGATAGGTGGACATTAAAGTGTCTGGCGACGGCTACCTGTGAAGCCCCCGATCCAGCATGCCAATAGCTATGTTCCCGTTTTCTTGTGTAAGGCGTGGCATTTTTCCGAAGTGATGAATGTTAAAATTTTAATCTGTATTTAAAGGGCCAGAGTGCATGGAATGCACGTGCAAAACGTGTGACATGGTACTGCTTAAAATCGTGTAAAAAGACAAGTGTTGCGTTTGCACGAACAAAGTTCATTACCGGGAACTGATATTGGGTTCAAACCCAGAACTCTACAAAAAGAGACCCATCACAAGTTTCAATGCCATAAGACAGGAAAGTCCAAGAAAACATTTACCAGAAATATTTCAAGAATTAGGCATTGCGTTTTTAATGGCTTTGAGTGTAGATTTTATGGTTATCTAAACACCCCATTAGAGGCAGCATACACAAACGAACAAAACATTAAATAAATAATGAATATAATGACAATGGCTAATATGATTATGATTATAATCTTGAAAACTGCATTGGAAGCGCGTGATTTTTTTCGCCATTTGCAAGGGGGCGCAAAAACTCAAGGGGGCGCAAAAACTCAAAACCATGACATAAAGCTCGTCATTGCGTCCCTCTCATTTAGCCCCTGCTATACGCTGATCCCTTGTCAGGCCATCTGTCCTGTCCCACTGACAAGGAGGAACTTTCTCGAGCAACACCCTGATCGGGTTTGCGAGCCAACGTCTTACCCACTGGGCCACCACGGCTCCCACATTGTTCGTATTCAGTAGCATAATATTATAAAATGGGATTTAACTTCCCACTTTCCTGCACCAACCAGGCTAATGAAGATAGGCATCATCAGGGGCTCAGCTACAGAATTTTTTTTGTACAAAACACTTTAAGAGAAAAGTGTCTCGGTCGTGTGCTTTATCCTTTATCCCTTATCATCAGATGGTGGGTGTCTAAGTATTGGAATGATACCGTTTAGTTTGTTAGTTTTGTATCTTGTAAATAATATGTTTTAAGATTATTCCCTTTATTTTTTTATGTTTTACACAAAGTAATTAAAACAGTGATATATTTTAAAATTATTTTCTTGTGCTCTAATAGTTTCTCCCAGAGATACCCATAGGGAAATCCCCAAGATTTAAATTTGACTCGGGACGATTCAGAAATAGATTTATCAGATAAATTAGAAGAAATTAAGCATGGTCGCAATTTAGATTCAGATTTGGATATTCTTATTGGATGATTAACAAAATAGAACCCGGGGGAGGTGAATTATTGGATTAATCAGAAATTAAATTATTTAGATGAAAATCAAATTTTGTATCGGAAAGATCGATGGTCATTCCCAATTAGTAGTGCCAACGTCCTTAGTTTCTGAGCTATTAAGAATAAATCACGATGTCCCTACAGCTAGCCACGAAGGAATGTAAATAAGAACCAAATATTATACTGGTATCGGATGACTTGTGAAATAAATGTATATGTTGCATCATGCAAGCAGTGCAATGAAGATGGCAACTATGTTAGCTAGACATAATTTAGTCAATTATCGTGCAGGAGTTCCGATGGAAAGAGCTCATTTAGATTTTTTTAGGTCTCTAGCCCATATCCAATTGGTGGATCAATTCACCAATTGCGTAGAATGTATCCCTTTGCCATCTCAAACTGGGGAAATAACGGCACAGGCCACAGTTACTGTCAATGAATTCTTTTTCCAGATTCCGGGTCCCTTTCATATCTTTATTGACCAGGCTCGGAATTTTCAAAGTGACCTATTTATCTTCCTGTGTGATTTATTGAAAATATACTCTTCAAAAAAAGTAGGGGATATTCAGAAACAATACAAAACTGCGGAAATGCACTGATGTTTTTATTAGAGGTAACCAGTGTGTGTTAATAACAGGCCAATTGCCTACACATGAACATACCCAGTTCATATGGGCGGCTTATCTGACGGCCCCGTTTCACTCGCAAAGGGATACACTGTCAAAAGTGAAAATGGACGTTTTTGATTGTCTTAATTTAAATAATGAGTAATTGCTCCACCAATCTTCAGATATTCAGCAATTCGTCGTGGCATGTTCCTAATCAACCGTCCAATCAGGATTTGGGACAATCTGACCCACTCCTCTTGCAGCCACGGCCAATTCTTGCAGTTGACGTCGACGAACACGTCTCCCGATCTAATTAAACGTAACACACTAAAGCAAAGATACACTAAACAGTAAATCTTATGCAAGAACCGATAGGAAAGCAAACATGGATAGGATAAACCAGCACGCGACAGTTTTCATCAACCCTTCGTTGAAGTGTCAAATTTGACAATGAACCCCTCCCACTCCCACGTGTATGGTGCTATTGCGTGTCGCACATGCAGCTCAGTGGTTCTGTTGGGGCGATACGTTTTTCATCTGTGAACATACTCTCAAAGCATGTCAAGTGTCCATGACTATTTATCATATCACAACCTGCATAGGTATTTCAATATCCCTACTTTTTTTGAAGAGTATATATAGAGCCAGAACTACCCTTTATCTTCGATCTTCCAACGGGCAGGTAGAAAGATATAATCGTACTTTAATGGATGCTTTACTCTGCTATAGGGAGGGGGGATACCCCAATAAATTAATGTTACAAAATGAAATGAAATGGGATTTAACGTCCTACTGTTCTGCTCCGACTGCGCTAATGAAGACGAGCATACAGTGTGCTATGAGGGAAATTTTGCCCGGGCAGCGACACTATGGTCTACTCTTATATCGAAATCCAACTGCCAGGGTATGCTTTACGTGCACGACAATGTATACACGGGTCCTCGGTTTTTCGTCCTACCTGAACGACTAGACAGCTGTCCTTGTCAAGTCGTCCGTCCTGCACCACTGACAAGGGAAGACAATGTTGGGGAGTTAGATTAATATGCCTGCTGATTTAATGTTTGGATCCCCAACTGTAGATCCTGAACCTATACCTGATGTATATATAAAAAAAAACATTAATTTCAATCAGATTGGTGTGAACTTGCCGTAAAGTGCATATTATAGTAACCACTGTCAATATTTTGGATATCGCCTGAATCAAGGGTAAAACTATCTTCGAGTCAAAACGCGAAATTCATTATAAGTCATGCACCATGACAGAATTAAGCTCTGTAAGGATAGGGAGGTATACCCCCTGGGTGGAACATTATAGGAAACATATTATGAAAGGGGACACCCATACTCCTGTAAAACTCAGAAGAAAATTATGCTAGGTTTGTCGAAAACATTGGGATCGAGGATTCGGTATTCAGTGCGACTGGTGCATGGAGTGGTTCCATTGATCTGACTCCTGAGGAGGCTGGATCCATAGATGTGTATATATGTCCTATATGTGATCCCCCTTTAAAAATTTATATTCATGTCAATATGTTTAAAATTAATGTTTTTTATATGGTGATTTTATCCCTGGGATTCAATTGTAATTTAATAGCTTTTATGTTTATCCTTCCTTTCCCCCTTAAGTGCACATAGGACCCAGGTAGGGGGGGGGGTCTTTTTTGTTTAATTTATTTAACTTGTGTACTGCTTTCTTGAATGTTTGCTGTGCAGAAGTAAGAAGTGTTGATGTGGAGACTATTGCCAGTACTGGAGTCCAGTGTTGGGTTAGATACCGTACGTTGGTTTGGCTGTGGGAGACCCCTGATAACCCATTATCATTCTTGAATAATTAAGAGTGACGGGTTACGAGTTACTGAAGCGAGACGTGAAGAAAAGAACCATCAGTTGGTCAACTGAGTGGTTACGCACTTGTTGAAATTTGACGATTAAAAAAAAGTGATTAATACGGTAAGGTGTTTATTATTTATGTCCCAAATTTCTAACTTAATTGCTAAGTGCGATTCTTGAAAATTTTTTATTGATTCGGGCTGTAGAATTACCGATATATCGATTTATAGGACCTGGGAAAAGGGAGAAATGTTTCGGGTCAGTGATTTTGGCCCTATAACATAGGTTCGGTCGGATGACCGTGAACACAGATATTTTTGTTTTAGGCCTATTGCCTTCCCAGCAATTTACTGTGACAATTGTTGTACATGTATATGGGGATGTCGGCATACATTACATGTATGATTCAGTGGCAGATACGTGTTTAAAAGTTTCAGCTTGTATAATCCAAGTTTTAATAATATAGCTCTTACTAAATCCATCTGAGAAGGGAATGTAACATAATATTTCAGCGTATAATGAAAAGGTAAATCGCCTTGAGTAAATATTAAGATTAGACATTTAAAGGGACAATAACCCTCTTGCTGGCTTAAAAGCTCGAGAAAATAAGAAATAGCCTTATTCTAAGTACCAGATGTGTAAGTGTCTGTGTAAATTATCCATTAAATCCTATTTTACTTGTCCAGAGGGTTCAAAAATATTCTTAAATCCAAGTCACATTTGAAAAGCTTTACGTCAGGCTTTTCAAATCATTTAGTTGAATTTTTCCAATTTTTTAAATTAGGTGTGTTAAGATGAAATTTGTATCATCAATTAATTGGAATATTGTAAAATAGTGCAATTTGTTGACCAGAATAAAGATTGGGTCATATTATTCAGTTACAACAAGAGTGGTATTGAGCCTTTAAAATTGACTAAATATGCTTCATCATCTTATATAAATATTATTTAATTGATTTTCAGTATCATATTTCATCCGCCATCTTATCCAGTTATTAATATTCGATCCAAATCAAGCAGTTCACTGGTATTTGTATTTGAGACATATGAAATAGACCCAGGAGAGCTTAGTTTCAGTTCCATGTTTTCAAGAACTTGATGTTATATGTTTTCTGATTAATGAACTGAGACAACACGGAGCAAGTCGCCCTATATACACTGACAGATACATATATCCTAGTTAACCTCATCAAGACAAGACAATGTATTATCTATTATGGTTTCCAGTACTCCTTGGATATGTTTCGTGTAATTACGAGTTGACCATCTTACATACTAATGATATCCATGATAGATTTGAACAGACGGACAAATACAGTGGAGTTTGTAGCATTAAATTGAGAGATGAAGGTAAATGCTTTGGTGGAATTGCTAGAAGACAGACTAAAATCAAGGAACTGAGGGCGAAGTACGCAAACACGGTACTTTTGGATGCTGGAGACCAATCCCAAGGCACCTTGTGGTATTATAATTATGGTGGGACAATTGTTGCCAAATTCTTAAATCTCTTAGGCTACGATGCCATGGTAAGTATGTGTATTTGTTTAATTCCACACAAAGAATATCGTTCCATCAAACGTTTTTCCTCGTACAATCTGAGGTGACATATTATGACTGATGTGTGTGTTATACGTCAGCATGGCCACACATTTTGCGGTGTGTGCACTGGGATCTGCAGGAATTGTTTCTTAACCCCTTTAGCAGTAACGCACACTTGAAGTGTTTGACAATTAAGACGGTATACCAACGAACTAAAACTGTAATACTGGTAATGTGCACTAGTTAATTTTGAGTATTACTACTACTGCTGGTTTTAAGGGGCTAAATCTCTAACTCAATATTTTCCATAATATTCGAAATTAAAAACACGAGTTCGAATTCAATAATGGTCAGTTTCAATCAATATTGATGTTGTTATCTTGCCATGAAAGTATATGATTCTAATATCCAATATTTAAGACACAATTAACATTTTATAATCAGTATACGATTCGTGTATTCTATGTTTTCGGTGCCATTTTGTAATGAACAAATAAAAACATATCCTACAACGCAAATAGAGCTATTTTTGCCTATTTCAAGGTTCCCAAAAAATAATTAAGTAAAATGCACATTTTATAAATTTAAAAGTTCAATATTTGTTTGAATAAAAATGTATTTGATGTTAATAATATTTAATGTAGAATCTGATCTGAGCTTGGTGGCCTCCACAAATTTCATTAATTTCTCCCCCCCCCCCCTCTTCACTAATTTCTTCTTCTACACATTTTAACTTATCTCTAGTGTTGTATTTGATGTTTGTTAGTTATCGTTCAAAACACAAGTTCACACAAATGCAGTTATAGGTTGTTTTGAGCTAGTACTCAATACAGAATAATACAATTTCATCTCCATTGACATTCAGCTCATTGACTCATTGCTTTGAAAAAAAGCTAATACACTGTACTCCAAATTTGAACTTTTTATGTGCAGCCATTTTCATTGACTCAAATGCGGGTATACCTGGTTAAATTGACATAAACAGTAATCAATTCGCCCATTCTTGCCCTTGCAGAGTTTTGGTAATCATGAATTTGACAATGGTTTGAAGGGTGCTCTGTCACTGGTGAATAACACAGATATCCCTATTCTGGCCTGTAACATCGATTCCTCACTGGAACCAGAATTCCAGGGAACATTTAAAAATAGAACAACAGTAGTCATCAACGGAGCAAGAATTGGTGTTGTTGGGTACATCACTACAGAAACCAAAGAAATATCTCGTCCAGGTAAGTTTCTTATTTGTAATAGGTTTTTTTACAACTGAAAAACGCACATGCCATTGCTTTGTTGGAAATTGTTCAGTGGTCGGTGGAGGCGGGAGGGGGGGGGGGGTTGATGGCCGAATGATTAGCACGTGCGTACTGTATCATACGGTATGTCATTGAGTCAACTGGCGGGGTTTCGATTCCTCGATTGTACGTGACAAGGACTAGGGTCGCCTGTCCAACCTCGTGGGTTTTCTCCGGGTCCTCCGGTTTTCCCCCACTGCTAAAAACCCCTACACGCAAGCGAATTATTGGAATAAGATCAAACCATGTGTTAGTCCCGAAATGACCTAGTTTGTGTCCAGTGGACGTTAAACCCCATTTCTCTCTTTTGTTCAGTGGTCGATGTTATTTGCCTTATTTTTAAAAAATTATATTTATTTCAGGACGTTTAGTGTTCAATGATGAAGTATCGTCTGTAAGAGAACAAGTTAATCAATTGAATAATGAAGGTGTAGATATCATTATCGCTCTAGGTCACGCTGGCATTAGTACAGATAAACGTATAGCAGAAGAAATTGATGGAGTGGATGTGGTTATTGGCGGCCATACAAACACTTTCTTATACACAGGTAAATAGTCTACCTGTCGATCGACAGTCATTATAACCTGTTCTACTTGTTTGTGTCGTTAAAAATGAGAAATCTATTGACATAGCCAATAATAATCTATATATATAAAGAAGGATAATGGATTCTGAAATATATATTAGGTGTCGTCTTTAAAGTAACGATACGCCAATCAAATCTCCTATAATACGACTTGTAACATGGATGGGAAATCTTCCTTTGTTCTTTTCTTTGAATAAGCAGATTGTTTTCCCTCGAGTAGATTGTGTGGAGCTTAACCGTGCAATACCTAGACATGTTCAATGTTATTGCACACTTTTGCTGGTTGACACTAGTTCTAGTAGAAATCATATAGAGATGTGGGGTGGGGTTTCTGTGCAATAACATTAAGCATGTTGAGCAGTTGTCAATGTTACAAGTAATTTATAGCACGCTTCATTCGTTAACAGGTTTAATCCCTCGGCCTTGTGCTATAAATATAACTTAATCCACGCGATTTAGTACTTAGATTGATTACTTAACATTTAATTAAGAAAACAAGATCAAAATACCAAGAGCAAGATACACCCCCCCCCCCGGCTTGGATTCAATCGGATTTAAACTAGGCCTATCAATTCTGTTAGGCCACAACATAGCGAGCAACATACATCAATACTGAACGGAGCTGAACCCCTTTTTGGATTCACCTTTCACATTGCAAGGGATTCCTAATGCGCTAAAATGACGGGACTTAACTTGATGCTTTTATGGTTATTTTTAAATTGTCGTTTGTAAAATTAAAAAAAATGGATAATAGACTTTAATTGTGTGATCAAATATTTATTTTGGAAATGAAAAAGTTTAAGGTGTTTTATCACACGGCTAATTCGGCGATTCTGATAATAGCTCCCAGATGTATTGCCTTTGGAGAATTACGTAACAAAATATATCATTCGATCTGCTTGCTATTTTACATGCTTTGAACAGATTAGTGAGACGATGAATCCAAAAACTTGATGTTACAGATTGTAATTTAGTGTCAGTTCTAGGTTACTCAAAACTCTGGATAAAACGAGAGAGAGAGAGACAGAGAGAGAGAGAGAGAGACACACACACACAGAGACTAACATATGGTTCAATTTTATTTCAATAATGCGCTTGCGCGTAGGGGTCTTTAGCAGTGGGGAGAAATCAGGGACCTAGAGAAAACTCACGAGGTTGGACAGTCAACCCTACTCCTTGTCACGTACAACCAGGGAACATATTATGTATATAGCTGCTGATGAGAGTATATTACCGTGCATGACAAACTATGTTTATTTCAGGACAAGCGCCTTCCAATGATGAACCCGAAGGAGAGTACCCAACAGTTATAACACAGGCATCTGGGAGGAAGGTTTTGGTTGTGCAAGACTATGCTTTTGGGAAATATCTTGGATTCTTACAAGTAACATTTAATGATAATGGGGAAGTTACATCGTGGATAGGAAATCCAATACTACTTGATAATTCTACGATACAAGGTCAAGTAAACCTTTCTGTTAAAGACAGTGTGATTTCTATTAGTACATAACACAGTCGTTTTTACAATCAGGACCGAATTAACGCTGTGGAGGATCCGGGACAATTCAACGTGACAAGCCAGTTCCGAGTCTTTCGGTGCAATTTGAGGGTGACCTTTCTATTTCTAAATCTAAATTAGAATCTCCCGGTCATACAATGAAACATTTCACTTGAACTAAACATAAAATGAGGGGAGGGGAGATGCCAAAATGGGGATGCCAAAATGTGCTGGGACCTGGACATTTGTTCTAAGATATTTACTCTCGAAATATGATATTTCAGAATCTCAGGATAAAACCGGTAAAGATCTGGTGATGAAGAGTTCTATTATATGTAGCTGCTGGGAATGCCTACGATATCCTAGACGGAAGCGCGTTGTAGTCGTAACCCAGGGTATCTAAGGGCCAATGCAAGTTTATACGAAAGCCTTACAATGGTATTGTTATAAAACTGGACTTTAAAATGTTGTTATCATTGCCGATGTTTCAGATGTTGATATTTTGGATGAAATGGTGGTTTATAAAGCTGGAGTAGAAGCCTCATCATTTGAAGTAGTAGGTCGATCACAGGTTTACTTAGAAAATGATCGCAAGGTATGTCGGGTACAGGAATGTAACTTAGGTGAGCATAGAAGTATTGATAATGTCATAAAAGAAATACATCGGTTAGAACTTGAAGTTTACAGATGTGCTTTGTAGTTATGATATATGGAGCAATAAAATTAAAACTCGGCTGCCTGTTTATGTTCTGGAAGCAACGACCGCGAGTTTTACAACAACTAGACGTTGCTTGCCTGGTCTGCAATTCCCGAACTTATAGCTACGTTATCTCCCTTTAACACAGATACGTGAACAATAGCGACCAATCAGAGGTTCTGACACAAACACACGCAAATCAAACATGGCGACCTCCACGGTAAACTTGACATTGAACGAACATGAACTTTGCAACTTGATTATCACAAGTAGGCATTTTAGCTGGTCTGCAATTCCCGAACTTATAGCTACCTTATGTTCTTTTAAAGCAGATAAGTAAACAATAATGTCCGATCAAAGGTGGTGGCACAAACACACGCAAATCAAACATGGCGACCTCCACGGAAACCTTGACATGTAACGAACCTTGAACTTTGCAACTCGATTATCACAGGTAGACATTTTAGGAAAGCGCGAGACTTGGTATTCGCGATGATCGAGGAATCTGAAAGGCCCCCTGCTGAGTCAGTATCCAATCGAAATTAGAGACGAAATATGTAGGGTATTACGTGAAGGGTTTGATAATATCAAGCTTTTTATTGAAGATGCTGTCTGATAGGCAAGCATGCCAAGTTTCATGCGATCGTTCTCGCATCAACGGATCCTTCGGCTTTTTAAAAGAGTGATCAAGAAAAACAAGAAAATTAACAAGTTTATAGTTTCAGTTTCCAAATTCATTAACAATATCCCAGTAAATGACCAAACCTGTTTCTAGGCAAGTCATGGTCGCAAAATTTAAATATTATGGATTCCATTGTGTCATTATAGGGGCATTCCACGTCAAGTGTACACACTTTTATGACCCGTGTCTCTGATTTTGACCTAACTTGCAGGGATTGATGTCCACCTTGAAACAAAACACTATCCCATGTTTTGGGTCATTTTTGCCTAATGGGACCCATTTTATGGGTAACCAAAGATTCAGGCCATCCGACTGACTTTGAACTTCTATCAGCCATACCTCAACACACAGTCGACCAATCTCGATGATATTGGTATCAAAATACTCAACAGACTGGGCCCTTTTATTTGACGTAATGCATGATGTTCTGTGATGATTTTTGCCAAAAAAAACATCTTTTAGTGTGACCTTTGACCTTGAACATCTACCAGGATCACAAATCGATCAGGTCGTTTTTTTTGGCCAAAAATGACATATCCTATAATCGTTATGCACACCAAAACTCAGAGTGGGATCTCCATAGGAACACGGTCAAAATGATCACCAAAGATGAGTACCCCTACATGCTATCCAGTTAAGCTGTCACAAAGGTGCCAACTCGTCATATACTAACGCATTCGACAACAGGCCCACTGTAACGTCCCAGCTATGCTAACTTTCTGGGCCCATCATACCATTCCCGTGAACTCCCAGTCTCGTGCTTCCAAGTGCTACAAAATATACGATTCCAGGCTACAGAAGTTCTCATTGCGCTTATGGTAGGCAGGCAGGACTATTGGCATTATCCACACCATTATCCACACGCAAATGAAGCGATGACGCCACCCATATGACGTGTGGATGCCATTAAACCGAGAGGTGCTCGAAGTGAAAAATTTGATATCTGAAGTATTCATTTCTATCACACATCCGTAAAAACACTTCAAATTTTCAATAAAATAAAGAAGGCAGAAATGATATTGAAGTGAGGAAGAAGCCATGCCAAATATGCAAATTAGGCTTCCACGAAGTGTTCACTTCATTTCCACGAAGTGTTCACTTCATTTAGTGTTTTGCTCAATTTAACCCAGTGTTTATCGGGTGTTTTTCGTTTGCGTTTGCACCATTCACCAAAACGTGAAGCTGATGACCCAAAACTTGGGACAATGCTTTCTTCCAGGTGAACAACAATCCCTGCAAGTTAGGTCAAAATCGATGACATAGCGTCATAAAAGTGTGTACTTGACGTGGAATGCCCCTATAAATAAAATAAGGAACATGCTCTTTAGCTTCAGAAATAAAATGGGGTTTAACATCCTACTTTTCTGCCTAGGCGAATGAAGACGTGCTTTAAGCATAAGGTCAACGCTGGGTCATTGGAAGCTAATTGGTTTCGATTCTCTATTATACCATGATCATCAATATGTTGACAGGTAATTTAATAGCTGACAGCATGGTTCATCAAAATCTCAAGCATTCAGATTCCCTGGAATGGAGTGACGTCTCTATTGCCATAATGAACAGTGGTGGAATCCGAGCGCCTATTTCAAAAGGTGGGTATTGCCCTTTCTTGTTAAATGTTGTACCTGATTTTTTACAAGACTAGTTGAGAACCACTGCTCCAGTGTTCAGTAAAGATTATATAGGTCTACTGTGAATAGAAGACATTGTCTTTAAATAGCATTTAAAATATACACCTTCTCGTATTATCAGCACATGGCATTTCTTCGTTTCGTTGTGAATTTCCCGGTAGTTCTAATTTTTACAGCAGAATAAAAACATACGCTGGATTAATGGAATCCCGATCATCAAGTCGCATGATCACTATTTTTTTGGCGTTCGCCATTCGCCGTTTTAGGAGAAACACATGCACCGGGAAAATTATCATGATAGGAGTAAAAATACTTGATAGGATATTCGTCCCTGTCATTTTATTTACAAAGATAATTTTGTTGATTTTTTCATTCCACTCCAAATAGGTGATATAACTATTGAAGCGATTCTGTCTGTCCTACCCTTTCGTAATACTATAGATATTATTGAGATAAAAGGTAAATACATCAGACAGAGTTTGGAATATACTGCTGTACGACGATCTTTTGTTGAGTATTATGGTGGGTTTTTCCAGTTTTCTGGTGAGTAAATGAATAAAAATATTATCTTGTTTAAAGCTGTATTATGGGAGATTAGATAAAGAGCTGGCAGTTCTCGCTATGATAGTTAAAAAATAGATAATGTAAAGGGAATATGCGGAAAATTTCAGTCTGAGCCGAGAAACCCTTATTTCAATCGATGGCCATTGTTACCCTTGGTACGATAGTAAACAAAGTGACAATTATCCATTATTACGGTTAATCGGCAACAGCCGTTCAACCGCAGATCGGATTCAAATCTGTTTAAAATCGGACCCATTCGATGGTATCGAGAGGTAATTATTGTCTGGATACTGGATAAGTTAATAAATGTCTAATTAATAGTTAATATAACATTTAAGTCCCAAAGAAAGACCTGCTATAGGAAGATTTAGCTCTTGCATAATGCATGTTTGACCCGCAGAGCGCTCTAAATTATTAAATGCGGAACCCTATGTGGAATTGTAGATTATAGTTTGAAATGAAGTTTAATAAAACTTGCCCCAAGGGTTATTAGCACTTATCAAGCTAGGGCGTTCTTACACCAATCTGATTAAAACGCAGATCCTATTTCGTTTCGTTTTTTTATAGTTCAAAATTTAGTTTTATTTGTCTGTACTACACTAGGGTCTGGAAGAGTTGTTATGTAACCCGAGTTCTGGATGGCGTGAGAGATTAGACAATGAAACCATCTATTACGGCGACTTCTTGGCGTGCGATACACGGAACTGTGGGTAAACCAATAGAAACGTCAACGCTGTTTGATTATTCAATGTCTGGCGTCACAGGGTCAAAAGCCGCTCGTACGACCTCTGACGCGACCTTTCACTACACCGATCAGATCTTCATGTAGTGTAGACCATCGAAAGAATAGCAATACAAAACGAAATATAAGTCTGTATTTTAATCAGATTGTTCTTACACGGATGCACTGGTTTTGCAGATACTACTGGCAGTTGCACTTGTATTTGAATTCGTGGTCTGAGTTGGTCTGTGCTTGTGCGTTGTCGAAAGGTCACCGACAGGCTTTCGGTAAGCGATTTCGTGTGTTGACTGTACTCGGTTGTTTGTGACCAAGACTCGTTTATTTTATTGTGGTTTGTTATACTATAGAACTACCACAAGACATTATATCGAAATATTAACAGGCAAAAATATCACCATAAACATGAGAAAGGTAAACAGTCAAAACGAATGCAAGGAACTCCATTGGCTTCCAGTTCGAGCAAGGGTCAATTTAAATTTAAAGCTCTTGTGAATGTGTTTAAATAAGTTTATTCTGACACCGCACCCAATTATTTAAAAGAAATCTTTAATTTCTATACTCCTCGAGGATCCAACCTTCGTTCTTCAAGTGATCGTAGCCTATTGAGGATTCCTAAATATAATAAACGTTGTGGGACCTGTTTCACGAAATTTTAACTAAAGATAAAATCCAAATTTTAGTAGATACTTCAATTTTGATTGGCTAAGCACTAAAATCAATGTAATATTATTCAATCAAATTACTGAAATTTGAATTTTATCTTAGTTAAATTTTCGTGAAACAGGCCCCTGGTGAATATGCTTTCTCCGTCAGAGCAGCTAAAATGTGGACTGTTTTTGAACTGTTTTGTTGTGAATGCGCTTAGAAACACCCATGTGTAATGCAGCGGTATATAAATCGAACAATAATAATAATAATAATATGCTAGTTTATAATATTGTTTATATTTTACAGGTTTAAAGGTGGTATTTAACATGAATAATACAGAAAATAATAGGGTAGTCAGTGTTCAAGTTAAATGTACTAAATGTGCTATACCTAGATTTGTTGATCTAGAAATGGAAGAAATCTACAAGGTGGTGCTCCCGTCTTACATTGTTCTGGGCGGTGATGGACACACGCATATTAAAAACAACGTAATACGTCATCATATAATAGGTAACACAAGGCTTACTGTTATTTCTTATCGAGTTAAAAGTTTGCTATCAATAATTATTACTGAAAAGATTTCGTGAATGAGACTTACATGGGGAAGAAAGATAGCACAGCAGCTGTCTCTTGAAAATATTTAGCCACAGACCGCCGCTTATCCGAAAGGAAAACTTTGATGTTGACCGAATTCGATAAGATGCCTTCAAGAAATCTGATCTCTATAATCTTCAAAAAGTTGAAAACAAGAGCTGAAAAGCGGGGTAACTACGCAACGGAAAGTCATGGAACGCTGAGTATCGATAGCAGTCGTCCTCAGGTGACCACAATGCTTCATTGAAAGAAATAGCCATAGACAGCAGTTTATACGAGAGTAAAACGTGGATGTTTACCAAATTTAATCCGCTCACAGTTCTAATGCGTCACACCGAATTTGAACAAATTTGTCACAAACCATCTTTCACACCAAATTTGAAACAAATGGGTTAAAAACGGTTTCGGAAAAGCCGGTGGGAGGTCTGTTTGTGTGTGTCCGGAATATCGGTAGTGTTCGTCCACTCATAACCCCAATACTCCACGTCAAATTTGTTGACTGGCAAACGGACTTATAAAATGTGGGCGTATCAAAATCAAATCCCCGTGAAACGGTTTTTGGTTTTATTATTTAAGCCGCTGATCACTATTCGATTTTTTTTACAGCTTAATCCAAACTAAAATTAATTATTTCGAATTTAATAAAGATATAAAATCAAAATCTAATTTCTCGGCTCGGATTTAAAAAGAAATGTTCCATCAAAAGATTTTAGCGGAGATTATAGATGTTACACCATATCCTGACAATTTTTCCAATTCTTCATATCTTTGTAAATATGGGGATTCCGTTTAAAGATTCAGTTTTCACAATGTTGTAGTTTTCAGTGAATATTCGCACAAATGATTATCAGATACTTCGATCTTTCCAGAACAGTACAATGTACATAAAACGTATTTCAATGAGAACTATCGATTTCTTGTCATACATGAATATTGCTTTATGATTCCCAAATAAGTCGATAAGAAACTAATAATAGGGTCATCCCCTTAGGCCTAATCCTCAAAATTTACTAAGACAAAATATTTCGTGGTGATTTGAATGAAATTCGTTATTATGTGTGGATTTATTGTCTTAACACAATTCGATTAGCTTGTAATCTGATTTCGAAACAAAATTGATAAAAGCTCACAATTATTGAGTTCGCGGCATTATTGTTGTTGAATATAGACCAAACTAGATACAGAACTATGATGAAAAGTGAAAGTTGACTTTATACCACTGAGTGAATTGATGGGTGCTAGATTGGATGTTTTCAATTGATCTGGGACTAAGGATCAAAATGTTAACAATAATTTACTCAGCCCACTCTTTTTATAAATCTTTTCTCTCAAACTGAAAAGTTGACACCCGAACTTTCTATAATTAAGTAGAACAGTGGGGCGTTAAATCCCATTTCAATTCATTTCATTTATATATTTAAAATTTATATTACAGGCGATCTTGATACAGACGTTTTGATTGAGTATATCAGATCAGTTTCACCTGTAGCTGTTGGTCTAGAGGATAGAATCACATTTGTGGAAAATACCCAAAGTTCTTGTTTATCACCATCATCATTATCATCGATAACAACACCATTGACTTGCACCTTTCTTTTGATTTTAATACTTTGTTTGACAAGTGTAACATTATATATGCAGTATTAAACACGTATCATGTAAGAGCTTAGTCTACCTATTGCAGATCTTTATTTTAGCCTCAAATGATATATTTATTATTAATTAGACACTTATTCACACGACAAGCCTATATAAAGTCTCTAGACTATCGGATGGTTGTGATTTTGAACGGATCGAAACATGATCACCATTTAATAATTCAATTTAAAAATGGATAATCGAGACTTTGTTTATTATCGAAACAATGATAGCGATGAAAATCGAGGCGTCCTAACCGCTTTCTATAATATTTTTATTTCTAACATTTATTTAACTTTCACAGTTAACACCTGGTTGATCTGTCCATCATATTTTTGTGCTTGTCAGTTATTAATTTGCAGTTGATTAAATTGTTTTTGTATATTTACATATTAAATATTCCACAGCCTCTTTATGATAGTTTATGCTAGGTTCTCACTGTCGTTCCATGCGTTACGATATGATTGTCCCAATTGAATCCACGATCTGGTACGTGCAGATACGTTCGGATACGATCAACACGATTGCCACGATTGACCTCAATATATGACCTGATAGGATCACGATTACTCTACGATTAAAACCACGATTTCAATCGTAGCGCGAATCGTGACTGTGGGAACCTAGCATTAAGTATTAGATAGGTCTGATAATGCCAGGTGCCTACAGTCGTGCGATGCGTTACGATAGGATTGTTCCTATTGAACCCACGGTCTGGTACGTGCAGATACGTTAAATCCGTTTCGATTGCTACGACTGACCGCAATATATGATAAGACTTGATAGAATCATCACGATTACTCCACGATTGAAACTATGAGACGAAAAACCGAGGTCCCGTGTATACATTGAAATGCACGTAAAAGATCCCTTGGCGGTTGGAATTCGATATAAGAGTATGCGATAGTGCCGCTGCCCGGGCAAAATTTCTCTCATAGCACACTGTATGGCGTATGCCCGTCTTCATTAGCCCAGGTTAGGAGCAGAACAGTAGGACGTTAAACTCCATTTCATTTCATTTCACGAGTTCAATCGTAGCACGAATCGTGATAGTGTTAACCTAGCATAAAAGCTGTTTGTATGTTTTCACTCTTGTTACCGGTGTAATTGTATTGTATTTGTTAATCTACTAAAATAAAATTACTTGCATTAGATTTTGTTTTGCTTTTTATTTACATTTACTTATATTTATTTTACTGAGGGGGGGGGGGGGGGGTTGATGGCCGAATGGTTAGCACGTGCGTGCTGTATCATAAAGTGTGTCATTGAGTCAACTGGCGTGATTTCGATTCGCTGGTTGTAGGCCTATGTGACAAGGAGTAGGGTCGCCTGTCCAACTTCGTGGGTTTTCTCCGCGTCCTCCACTTCCCCCTATGTGACAAGAAGTAGGGTCGCCTGTCCAACCTCGCGGATTTTCTCCGGGTCATCTAGTTTCCTCCCTCTGCTAAAGACCTCTACGCGCAAGCGAATTATTGAAATAAAATTCTACCATGTGTTAGTCCCAAAATGACATAGTTTGTGTCGAGTGGACGTTAAACCCCACACCTCTCTCTTTATTTATTTACCTCCTTCCTGATCTTTCCACTTGAAAAGTTTTCCACTTGGCTATAGAATGTAGTACCACAGATTCTAAGGAAATATACATTTGTTAATGTGGAAATCCGTGTAACAGACTTAGGAATGAAAAGCTGGCATAATAACTGGCGTTCAGGTGTTTGTATTTCAGTAACAGTAAACAATACACTCCCTTGATCGCGAAACCCGACGCAGGAAATCATTCTCTCAATCGATCGACAGGAAACTGAACCCGAGAAGTTCATTATCAAACAGAGAAGTTCATTATCTAACATAATTATCAATCCTGGGGCTGGCGGGGGGGGGGGGGGCTGTTTTTAGTTTAGATGTCAAATGGGCGTCACACCCATTTTACTGTAAATAATAGTCTGTAAACAAACCCAACACCCAACACGTATATTGCAGCATTGCTCTTGTTAAAGGACAATATTGGTGCCAGTCATTATCACATAACTGGTTAAACATGTGATAGAACTGGTTAAACACGTTCCAAATGATCACAGAGATCATTGCTTCTCTCATGTTCTCTTATCTAGTGACAGTCAATTTTTTATGAATTGTCAGATATCCTTTCACAGTCTCACACAACAACTTTTGGTCTTCGAAGGAATTATTAGTGGGCAGAAATTCGCCCATGTACCTGTTATCACCCGTCACTTCAATCAGTTATATAGAGGGATAACTCGTGTTCTCCTTTTGCGTTCGTCACTTCCGATTGTTGAAACATTGATTTCACATCTATCGTAGCAATGATCACTGTGATAAAATAATATTTGGAACGTGTTTAACCAGTTCTATCACATATATGATAATGATTGACACCAATATTGTTCTTTAATCATTGTTTTCTGTGTAGGATAAAGCACGAGACCTCGGTTATACTAGTGAAAGAAAATAACCCGAGGCCGGGAGGTCGAGGTGTTTTGATTCGAGATTTTGTTTTTTCTGAAGTCTTTCTTCCCCAGCACAACCAAAGTCGGGGATTTTATTTTGCTTATAAACTGTCTATGTTTACATGTACGTAAAATGAGAATATTCCAGAATTCCAGTAAGAAAAACCTTATATTATGTTTTCTTATGAAAAAAAAAACCTACCCTGGAAGAATAACCTGTTACAGGTTTAAAGAAAAACTTGCAGAAGAATAACCCCAAATTCCCCTGTATATATTCAAAGCCGCCCCCACTTTCAGACCGCAAGTTATTCCGGGTATAGAATATACCCCAAAGATCAATGTGATTTACCGTTATAGGTCTATATAAATTACCTTTGTTATAAGCTCTAATCGTAATGGGATGTTTTCATGGAAGAAGCTTATAGCTTCGTTCGTTCGTTCCTGGAGTTGTGCAGGGGGTTTGGATGGCTGAATGGTTAGCGTGCGCGCGCTGTATCATAAAGTCTGTCATTGAGTCGACTGGCGTGGTTTCGAATCCCCGGTTGTACGTGACAAGGAGTAGGGTCGCCTGTCCAACCTCGTTGGTTTTCTCCGGGTCCTCTGGTTTCCTCCCACTGCTAAAGACCCCTACGCGCAGGCGAATTATTGAAATAAAATTTAAAAAACATATGTTAGTCCCGAAATGACCTAGTTTGTGTCGAGTGGACGTAAAACCCCATTTTTCTCTCTCTCTCTCTCTCTCCTGGAGTTGTACGTCCACTTCCACCGAGGGTGATATCGTAGACAAGTATTTTAGCTATAGAGGGGGGTATATAAATTAGGGATAACAAAACCACCAGACTGTGTAATCTGTTGTTATATGGCCACAGATCACTAATTATTTCCCCATTGACTTTAATGTTAATTCTCGTCTCTTAGACGTTTTGGGTAGAACGCTTTCTGCCACAGATGGAGCAACATGTGGCAAACTCTTGCCCAAAAGCATGTATGAGGTTCACCATGAAAAACTTGAGATACACAAGCTGAAAGTAGAGAGAAGTAAACATGCAATTTCCGGCCCTACATTTCAACGTAACCAACCTCACAACTCTTGTATCCTTCCGCCTCAAAATCATGAATATTCACCAAAACCTGGCAGAAAATGTATTTCCAAACCCTTTGTTTCGATTCTACACCAAAAAGTCAACAAAAATCGCCATGCAAAAGGGGGAGAAAGGGAGAGACTAAAAATAACTTTGGCCCGTGTGATCTGTGTCCATATACTGTAGTCGAAATGGGGAGGTTACCAGTACTTTGGGTGTAAGTAATACCCCCAATACCCCTCATAAAATACACATGCTCTAGCCTAACTGAGATATGTGACTTGGGATTGCCGTATTACTGCAGAATAATGGGAAATTAAAATGTTCTATAGTTTGCCATACAGTTTCTGATCAGGATCAATATTTAGCACCAAATCCAAATGCCAAGATGTCGTTTTCGATGGCATCTTTTATCGCTAATAAATCAAAAGGTTTAAAGGACTTATAGCTTGTTCCTGTAGGAATAACAATTCACTGTAGAAAATGTTCTCGGAATTCGACATTGTAAGAAATTCCCAAATTCTTGCAGTGAAATTTTGAGTTTATTTTGGTTTAGAATCAGATCGTTTTGGTTTTTCTACATAAAGTTTGTTCATTCTAACTCAGAGTTATTGTGCCCCAAAGTCTCGATCAATCAAATTCCATGTCTCTGGAAATATCGAAATCGGTTTATCGTCCTGCTCCAGAATATATACAGGGAAATTTGGGGTTATTCTTCTGCAAGTTTTTCTTTAAACTTGTAACAGGTTATTCTTCCAGGGTAGGGGGTTTTTTTCATAAGAAAACATAATATAAGGCTTTTCTTACTGGAATTCTGGAATATAGACGGTTTATAAGCAAAATAAAATCCTCGACTTCGGTTATGCTGGGGAAGAAAGACTTCAGAAAAAAGAAATCTCGAAAGAAACACCTCGACCTCCAGGCCTCGGGTTATTTTCTTTAGTCTTTCTTTCACTAGTATAACCGAGGTCTCGTGCTTTATCCTACACAGAAAACAATGATTAAAGGACAATATTGGTGCCAATCATTATCATATATGTGATAGAACTGGTTAAACACGTTCCAAATATTATTTTATCACAGTGATCATTGCTACGATAGATGTGGAATCAATGTTTCAACAATCGGAAGTGACGAACGCAAAAGGAGAACACGAGTTATCCCTCTATATAACTGATTGAAGTGACGGGTGATAACAGGTACATAATTCCTTCGAAGACCAAAAGTTGTTGTGTGAGACTGTGAAAGGATATCTGACAATTCATAAAAAAATTGACTGTCACTAGATAAGAGAACATGAAAGAAAAATAGAAAAAGTCCGTGCATTACCATGTTTTTATAAGGATAGGATGAATAAACACGCGTGAATGCACGGACTGTTTCTATTTTATTCGTGTTCTCTTATCTAATGACATTCAATTACTTTTTTGAATTGTCAGATATACTCTTACAGTCTCATATAACAACATTTGGTCTTCGAAGGAATTATTAGTGAGCAGAAATTCGCCCATGTATCTGTTATCACTCGTCACTTCAGTCAGTTATAGAGGGATAACTCGTGTTTTTCTTTTACGTTCGTCATTTCCGATTGTTGCAGCATTGATTACGCCTCTATCGCAGCAATGATCTCTGTGATAAAATAATATTTGGAACGTGTTTAACCAGTTCTATCACATATGTGATAATGACTGGCACCAAAATTGTCCTTTAACAAGAGCAATGCTGCAATATACGTGTTGGGTGTTGGGTTTGTTTACAGACTATTATTTACAGTAAAATGGGTGTGACATCTAAACTAAAAACAGCCCCCGCCAGCCCCAGGATTGATAATTATGTTGGATAATGAACTTCTCTGTTTGATAATGAACTTCAGTTCCCTGTCGATCGATTGAGAGAATAATAATAATAATAATAAAAACTTTATTTAATGAGGCAACGTATTTAGTTTGCAAAAAAAAAAACTAATCTTCCATAGGTCCCTCCTAAACTACAAAGACATATATACATGTAATATCATGATAAATTTAAAATCATTAGAAATGCAATAGCATTTTAAAGTGGGAAGTTTGATAAGTCACTCCCAAACTCCCAAACTACAAAACATATACATTATACAAGTAGAATATAGGAAGAACACTATAATTGCACACAAATAAAATAGAATGCAATTGCAAATTAAAAATAATAAGTATGTCATCAGTTGAATATTATGGTTCCTTTATAGTGTGCTAAATAAATAAATTTTCAGTTTAATATTAAAATTTTCAACATTTTTACACATCTTTAGATCAAAAGGCAGATTGTTCCATAAAAGACATGCAGAATAATAAAACGTACGTTTCATGGATTCCGTTTTGCATTTTTGAAGAAAAAGAGATTTACTGGTCTGTGAACGGAGCAAGATATCCGTTTTGGAAACAAGAGATTTTCCAATAAAATAGAAATTTAGATAAAGTGGAGTATTAAACGTAATAATTTTGAATGATAAGACAATTTTAATGTAAAGAATCCTCTGTGTAAGGGTAAGCCAACCGAGTTTAGTAAATAAAGAGGTGGACGGAGTTTCAATCGGTGCATCAAGAATAGCTCTTGCTGCCCTCTTTT